AGGATGATGGTGGCACCACCAGAGACGCAAGGGTTTCCCCCCACCACACCATTCTTGGTGCATTGCTTTGCCCTCATGCCGGACACCTCCTCTGCAAGACAGCTGGTGGCCAGTGACCTCATGAGGCATCACGATGGGGATCAAGGCAGGAGGCAAGGGGGCTGCTGCTGTGGCAGGTGTGTCTCCTTCGGTCAGGAAAGCAGACTCAATCATGGAGCACCCCCAGCCCCTCCCACACACCCAGCCAGCTTCTGCCAAGGCTCATTGATCGGAAGGGGTCAGAGGATCAACCCTGGCAGCAAAGGAGGCCGGGACAACGGGTAACAGGTCATAATCGAACCCAACCATGACCCATTGTTTCGGGTGGGTTCATTGTAGCTCTGAACAAAACTGGAGCTCTGTTAGCAGAGGAGGGAAACATTTTGGATAGGCACTTTTTAGTGTCTGTCCTGCATTCTCTCACATTTAAGACCTTTAGCTACTTTTTTCTTCTTTTTTGTGTGTGGGGATGTAGAGGCTCCCTATTGGGGACCTCCACAACGATGTAGGAAGGTGTTTCCCTCTCTCACCCCTAGACTGCTCACCCCAGTAAGCTGCTGATCACTCAGTGAGTCAAGATGCAAACTCCGTTCCACATCTTAGCCTCTGCTGAATCCGCCGAACAGCCGAACAGCCGGGAGGAAGGCCAAAGGAGGCAGAGTCCCAGTGTTCAAGATGTCCCCAGGCTAAAAGAGCTGCTTTGTTTCTGGGTGCTGTGGGGGAGCACTGCTTGAGGCTGGCCTCCAGGCATTCCTGCCTTGACACTGACCAGGAGCCAGACCTCCTGGGTCGCACTGTCTCGCGTGACGGCTGTGAGAACCTGGGCAAGTGACTTAGCCTCCCCGAGCCTCAGAGAGCACATCTGTAGGAGGAGGGCAGTAGTAATTACTTCCCTCACTGGAGCACATGAGATATCAAAGCGCATCGAATAACTAGGACATTTAAAATAATTCTAAAATTTGTAAAAAAAAAAACCACCAAGAGAAGTAGTAAGCCAGTTATTGCTATTGCTATTATTATTGTGTCATCGTGGTTGTTACTATGTCGTCTTGGCTGAGACCTCTTCCGCCACATCTTCAGGGTTCTCTCGCCCTCTGGCCCAGGGCTGTCCGTCCTGCCTACTTTGTCTGAAGTAGTAGTGACAAAGCACAGCTTGTAGTGAGGGTGGGTTCTGGTCTCAGGGGAAGTCTGTCTCTCCGCTACTATTCTAAACTTCTAGTGTCCAGGTCTGGGTCACAGATCTGGGGTTTTGAAGGCATCCTGGGCGCACTGTGACCTGTCCATCTTCCTTCTTCACCCGTCTGTCCTGCCTTAGACTCTCCAGCACTGAGTGAGTGACAGGCCCAGGAAGGGATCGGCCCCCCTTGGTCCTGCCAGCCGCCCCAGGCCCACCTCTGAAGCTTCTCCTGGGGACCTTTAGGAAGCCCACGCATCTGTTTTATAATGGAAGGGGGCTGGACAGCTACAGGACAGTGCTGCCACCCCACTGGACGGACCTCTAGGGTCGGTACCAAACCACAGAGGAGCATCTGTGAGCCTTAAGGTCGGATGGAATTCTCCCTGCGAGGCTGTCGCCTTCCTGGGATCCATCACTCTTTCTTCCTTCTGACTCCTCACTTTTGGCACGGGAACATCTGCCCATGCCTGTCCCACCCGTGTCTGTGGGAGGGAGCCCGTGTCTGGCTTCACAGGGTCAGAGCTGGAGGGGGCTTTGCCCAGGGCGAGGGTCCCTCGGGATCTCCATGCCTCTCACTTCCGAGTCGAGCTGGAATGAATGAAGACTTTTAGGACTGTTGGGATAGAATGAATATGTTTTCATTATTATTTTTATCTGTTTATTCTTTTATCCTCTCCTGAGGACATTTCTCCATCTTTTGTTCAGATAGAGTGGGAGGGAGAGAGAGGAACAGAGAGAGGGAGAGAGAGAGGGTGGAGGAGGGGGAGGGGGAGAGACATTGACTGGTTGCCTTCCACATGACCCCAACCAGGGAGGGCTGGGGACGGACTGCAACCGAGGTATGTGCCCTTGACTGAAATCGAATCCATGACTCATTGGTCCGTGGGGAACTAACTGCTGAGTCAAACCGGCCAGGGCGGAATGAATATATTTTCTACATGAGAAGGACATGAATTTGTGTGTGTCTGTGTGTGTGTGTTGGGGGGGGCAGGGGAAGAATGCTATGAACCGAGGTGTACCCCAACCCCCAAACTGATATGCAGAAGCCCCAATTCCCAGTGTGACTGTATTTGGAGGTACGGTCTTCAGGAAGTAATTAGGGTTAAATGAATTCATAAGAGAGAGGCCCTCATCTCATAGAAGTCTGGCCTTAGAAGAAGAAGGAGGAGGAGGGGAAGGGGGAGGGGGAGGGTCAGGGAGGAGAAGGAGGAGGAGGAGAAGAGCTGTTTGTGTCTCTACCATGTGAGGACACCATCTGCAAGCCAGGAAGAGAGCTGTCAACAGGAATGTAATCTGTGGCACCTTGAGCTTGGATTTAGCCTCCAGAACTGTGAGAAGTCAATGTCTGCAGTTTGAGCCCCCAGCCTAGGATATTTCGTTATGCTGACCCGCACAGAGGGCACAGCGGTGTGTGTGATGATGGCGGTGGTCTCGCCTGTCCCGAACATTCCCCAGTGTTCCCAGAACTCTCCCCAAGTTCGCAGTCCTGTCTTGGCCGCCAGAGTTTCAGCAGGTGTACCCCAAACGAATCCCCGGAAACTGGAGACACTCCCTTTGGCGCCACCCTGGACTGTTTGTCACAAAACCCCCACGGATCTGACTCTTTTTCATTTGTTTTATTAGCATCAATATATACAAAGTGGAAAATGACATCATTTCATTATTCTAGCTTAGAAAGTCGGTTTTGCTTTTTATTCTGTTTGGGGAATCAAATGAAAATGAAAACTTCCCAGAAGAAAGCCCACCTTTGGGGGTGCTGAGCAACTCAGACGACCCGCCATGACCACTCGAGGGCACAGAAAGGTCATACTCTTTGGACTCACCCCAAACAAAGGTCATTTTGCCCAAGGCTCGTGCTCAGATGAAATCTACCCACCTGTTTGTCAAGTCACTACCTGCTTCCACAACCATCCTGATGGTGCAGCCTCTTTGCCTCCTGCAGGGCTGTTGGGCAGGTTCTGAAGCTACAGGCCCCAGGTCCCCGAGGTTCTTCAAGGAGCTGACTTCAAAAGATCATCTTTCAAGCATGTCTGTGGAGCTAAGTCAGGATGGCCATCAAAGAGCGACCAGAATACTCACGTTGGCTAAATGATTCTACGCCCCCATTGCCTCCCCAAATAGCAAGAGGAAGAGCTCCAAGCTGAAGAGGGTGTGTGTTTTTACAGCACAGGGCGCCAGCGGACAGGTCCAGCTTGTGGGACTTAGCACGTGACACGGGCCATCACGCGTGTTCTTCGAAGCTCGGAACCTCTGTAAACGTGTTTCCCCACCGTTTTAAAAACAAAGAGTGGCTTGTATAGGAAGATTCAGTCCATTCTCGAGTTTCTCAAGATTGTGTCCTGTTCAAAAATATTTAAATCCCAATGGGTTTTGATATTGAGCTTATAAAAACAGACACGTAGGAACTGTAGGGAGATGCCTGGTACATTTTGGGCCCTAGGCTCATGGTTTCTTTACCTTTACGTGTTACACAGACACACTCGGAACAAAAAATAGACAGCAACCTGTCTTTTCAATCACACTGCACATTGTCAAGCTCGCACGACCCATCTTTAGGCTAAAACAAACCGGTAAAAGATGGTGCTGTGCTACGGAGACAGAGATAAGACATCGAAATCCTGGACTAAAAGATCGACACCTTTCTATCCAACAACCAGGAAGAATTCCTGGGCCGTGGCCCGGCCAGTTTGCGGGGACAAGGTTAGAATAAAGATTTTGCATCCCATCAGTCTTTGCGAAAGGCAAACGTCTAGTTTTCACAGAATCGTAGCGTATGTCCGAAAATTAAGACTCATTAATAGATGCCCCAGGGTTAGGATTAGAATAATCATCCAACAGAAACAAAAGCAAAGATTGGATTCTTTCTGCCTTTTCAAAAAGGGGTATGTCATTTGCATTGTCGGCCTTTCTCCAAACCTGACATCGCTGACGAATGGTCTGGGACGGTTCTCCTCTGGTTCTTGCAGAAAACGGGGTGGGCTCCCGGTGGCTGGGAAGCAGCCTTTCACGGTCTCTCGCTGGGCGTCACGCACGCCTTAAGCCGCATGGTCTTCCCTGGCAGAAGGAAGTATTCCAGCCTCAGACCTCCAAGATGGAGTGAGGTTCAAGCTCCTTGTTAGGAGGAGGGTGTGTGTGTGTGTGTGTGTGTGTGTACAAAGCCAACTACCCTAAGCTGTTCCAGATGTTTCCAAAACAAGCTCTCAAATGATGCACTCCTGGCCACTCTCCCAGTGGCATGACAGCAGAAACGTCTCTTCCTGTTTGAAGACTAGCCGATTCAACACAGTTCTAGAGAGCATGGGAGGGGGCCGAAGAGGACCCAAAAGCATTGCACCTGTGCGCCTCTCTGAGCCATCGGCTGTCCCTGGGGACGTAACCCACAGGCCCGAGTTCCTTCCGTGCACCCTCACCCCTGCCTTTTCTTTATTCCCGTATTTAGAAAAGACTCTTCCTTGGTATTTACACACTCGCCAGTCCCACTGGGTTGGGATGAAGTGACCCTGATAAAATCGAAGGATGCTTATGTCATTCATAAGGTGCTATGAATTCCTTTCTGGCCTGAAATGCCTCCTTCGCTTCCCACTGGGGTTTGAATCGTACCACGGGGGTTCCTTTGCGGTTTTAACCCCTGCTTCTGTTTCTCTGCGTTCACGCCCCGTCCAACATCTGGGCAGAGCCTCAGACAGGCGAAAACCAGTTTCTTCTCCCGGCACCCTCCCTTCCCCTGAAATACCGGATCGCAGTGTATTCTGAAGTTACAGCTTTTAGAGACACAGCCGCTTGCATCTCCTCTATTTTGAGGGCTCAGGCATTCCAGCATCCCAGGGGGGAAACAGAGCTCACCCCCCACCCACCTCCCCTCCAGCGCAAACCCTAGGACTCTCCGGACAAGGCTGCCCCGCCCCAGAGGCTGCGGGTCTGTCCTCACAGCTGGAGGCGGCCTCGCTGAAGGAGGTGATGGCTTCTGGCGCTCTAGCCCAAATGACCGACGGAGCGTCCGCGACAACGTGGTGTTACCTCGGTTCCCACCGCCAGTGTCCCCCTCGCCAACTCCTCATCGGAACCCTCCCATCTCTTAGCCTCTCTGAAAACTTTTCTTGGTCATTTACCACTCTTCTAGAAAGAAGACATGTTCTTATTTTGCCAGCGTCCAGTGAGGCCAGGGTAAAAGAGGGTGTTTACGTGACACCTTTGCTTCCTTCAGAAGGACCGAGGGAAGGCGGGGAGGCGGCGAGACCTCTCCGGAGCTGGGGAAGCTGGAAGGGGGACAGGATTTGTTCGGGGGGAGACCTCTTTCGGTAGCCGGGTGAAATTCCAACCCCAGTGAATCCGACACACAGTACCCTCTCCAACCGAACCTGGGGACTTCCGTTTATACTAAAACACCACGGGCGAGGGTCTCAAAGATGCATGCAATTTAGTGCAGCCACAGAAGGCATTGCTGGTGGGAGACACTGGACCTGCTTTTGCTTCCCCCCCGGGCTGCCGCGGCCACCGTTTCGCTGGTCTTCCACCGCCTTCAGCATCATCGATCGAGGCCGCGACAGGAATCTGACTGCGTGGGCAACACATCCAACCACACCCATCTCCGTTTTAAATAGAATAAATACAGGGAAGAAAACAGTACGTCTTCAATAAAGAGTCCAAAGAAAAGACGGCCGACACGCTGGGGTTTTTCCATCAAATGCCACATGGTCTCTGGGTGAATTCTCGAGGAGGTTGTAGTTGAGTCCGTAGCTGTGAGCTCCCTTCTCAAGTGCAGCTCTCTTTAGATGGAAACTTCGTACTCTCTGGTTTCCTGCAAGAGAGAGATGCGGAGCGCTGTTATAGCTCGTGTGGACAGGGATGCATGTGGTTCTAGCTCTGTGTCCCTACCACGACAGTGGCCGCGTGCCACTGCGGTGCCTTCCACTCCGACCCTGACTTGCTTTGGCCAACGGGTCCTAAAGGAATGGGTCCCAGAGGGGCTTGTGTGTTCCCACTTGTGCCCTGGCCTTCTGCCATCACCTCGAGCCGAGCATGTCTCCATAGCCGTTAGTCTCAGCAGAGGGATGAAGGACATGAGGGCAGAGCTCAGCCTCCCAGACAATGACCAGCCAGTCCCAGACGAGTGAGGGAGCAGAGGCGAACCACCGCCGCCGCCCAGTGTAATTCACCGGAAACGTGGCCTCACAGACTGATGAGCGAGTCAATGTGTTGCTCTGGGTGGCTGAGCTCTGGGATTGCTTGTTACGCAGCGTGACTATAGTGCTAGGTGATTGATAGCTATACTGATAAGCATGAACAAGGTCTGGTTCCTAAAGTGCTGTGTTTCATCAGCTTGGTCTTCTTGAGGATTTGGAAACAAGCCACATAGGATGCAAAATATGACGTCTTCTTACCAGTGTCATATCTAAAATGACAATATATGGGTAGCAATGAGTTCAATTACCCTAATATTTATGGAGTGTGTGTAATTTTCTCCAGGCCTCCAGGGCAGAGGGGCAGGGAGGTATAAGAAGTCATAGTCTGTGCCCTGGAAGAGGTTGCTGTCACATGCTTTAGTGGACGTCTATAGTTTCTGCTGAGTTAACACAGATATGCAAATCAGATGTGCACTTCATGGTGTACGGGAGTGTGGTGGGCAGACTCTAAGGCAGACCTTATGGTCTTCACCTCCTGGTATTCACACCCTGTGTGATCCCCTCCCCTTACATACGGGCAGGGCTGTGATTTGCTTCTAACCAACGAATCTGGCCCAAAGGTCCCAGGATGCCACTCCTGTGTTTTATGTGACATAGGATTGTGAGTTGCATCTTGCAAGGATACTCTCTTTCTTTCTTGTTGGCTTTGAAGAAGCAAACTTCCATGATGTGGGCTGTTTTATGGAGAAGGCCACATGGAAGGGAACCAAGGGTGGCCTCTAGATGATATCCTGCAGGAAACTGAGGCCCTCAGTCCAACCACCTGCAAGGAACTAAACGCCTTTGACAGCCACGTGAGCTTGGCAATGCCTCCGTCCCCAGCCAAGCCTCAGATGAGATCACACCCTGACTGCCCCCTTGGGAGCCCTGAAGCAGAGACCCAGCTGAGCTGTGCCCGGACTCCTGACCTACAGAATCTATGACATCATAAATGTGTGTTATTTTAGGCTCTAAATTTGCAGTAAAATTGCTACACCTGACTCAATCACTAACACAGGAGGTCAGAGGAACATCAATAGGGACAAGGAACAAGTCAAGTTTATGCTCCTCAAGTATTGGGAGGTGGTTGTTCATCAATTGGAAGGGTTGTGGTTTTGCAGTCCTGACCCATCTTCTGGTTCCTCATAGGTGCCTCTGGGCCTTTGCATGGGCTCTCCCTTCTCCCTGGCATCTTCTATAACCACCAAATTTGACACACTTTACATGTTTCAGCTTTATATCATTGTATCAATGTTACCTTCCCCTATCACTTCAAAGTGTCCCCCATCCTACATTCTTGTAGTACCCTGTCTAATTTCTTTCATAGTCCTTAGAAATAGTGACTTGTTGCAATCGAGACATTCATTGGCATATATGATTTGCATTAGTTTGCATGACTTCTTATACCTTCCTGCTCCTCTACCCTGGAGGCCTGGAGAATATGACACACTCCATGAATATTAGGGTAATTGAACTAGTTGCTACCCATATATTTGTCATTTGATGTTGAAGGGAGGCAGGACATATAATGATTAGTGGCACCAGGTACAGTTTGCATCCTGGCTCCAGACCGTCCCTTCTGGTGGTAGGCAACCTTGGCCAAGTCACATTTTCTTTTTTCTGACCTCATTATCCTCACCAGTCAAGCAAAGATAACTGCAGAATCTATCACAAATAGTTGCAAGGATTCAAGGAGATCATGCATTTAAGGTGCCCAGCCCATGACACATATTATTATGGTTGTTATTAATACCTGTCACCTTTGCAAGATTGGAAGCTCATTAATGGCCAGATCATGTCTCTTTGGTTCATGACTGTGTCCCTAGTACCCAGGACAAGGGCTGCCACTCAAACGTGTAGGAATGTTGCACACGCCGTTCATTAAGGTGTGGAGCTCAATAAGATGGGTGAGAATGTTTTCTGTGGCCACCAGGCCACCAGTGAGCTCTGACCCATCTCAGCCGCCTCTCCATGGGTCTTTGGTGAGCCCTGTCCTTCTGTGATCCTTCTGCTAAGAGTGAACAGTGTTACAGGCTTGTCATCAACTTGCAAAGAGAGCTGGCTTCTCTCAGCAGTTAGTTCAATAAGGGTCACTGTGGGGATGAGACAGGACCACTGGCCACGCCCTTCTGCCTGTGGCATCGTGAGCAAAAGGAAATCAAACCTTCAGTGTTGATGTCAGCGAATTCAGAGCAGGCAAAGAGGGAGGCGCCTGGGAGAGAGGAGAGACCAACTCACCCCTGTCTCATAAATGGGGTTGTCAAACTCGGTTTCCACGGTGATCTGGCTGTAGGGGTGCGAGTACATCAGGGGCAGGCGGAGGTTGGAGTAGTAGCGACATCTGGAGAAGAGACGACGAAGGAGAGACGTTACGGACCAGGAGACACCTCAGTATGCCTAAGGGCAGCGGTTTTCAACCTTTTTCATCTCATGCCACACAGACTAATTACTAAAATTCTTTGGCACACCAGAAAAAATATTTTTTTGCCCATCTAACAAAAAAATAGGCATAATTTTGATTTACCAAGGAAAAAAAAGTAATTACCTACCCTTTTTGCTCCAAAGTGACTTAAAAAAACAAACAGAAAACACCCAGGTACCTATACTTGTATATAAGAATTTCTGGTACCAAGAATTAACCAATCAAGCCCTGGCTGGTTTGGCTCAGCAGTTGGAGCATTGGCCTGCAGACCAGAGAGTCCCAGGTTCGGTACCCCCTGGGGGCACGTACCAAAAAAAAAAAAAAAAAGAATTAACCAATCAGATGCAACCTTATTATTATATGTCGTGACTAATAATATGCAACTCTATTATATGACCCATATATTTATGGTTCAAGACAAGGCATTCACACCCGACGACTCCTGTTGTGTTGGCTGTTGTCATTTTTTGTATCTGACAATCTAAGGGAAAAGAGGTCAGCACCCCCGACCACATAGTCAGGTATTGCATGCTTTAAAAATTCTCGCAGCACACGGGTTGAACATTGCTGCCTAAGGGAACAGTTCGTGCCACTTTCTGAACGCCAGCACCTCCATGAACGACAAGGAGGGTGTGTGGAAACAGCTTCCTGAGGGTGAGAATCCGAGTGGGGTGAAAGCTGAAATCCTAATTGCTCTCAAGTTCTAACCCAGTCAGTGATAATTAGAGCCTAGTGTCTCCCTGACTGCGGAGGGGGTGAAGCTTAATTTGTTTTCACCTGAAAAGTGGTTTAAGTCCCTCTTTGATGCCAAGAGCAACAACAACAACGATGAGCATTTATTGAGCACCTACTAATACTGCGATGCCTCAGAGAGCCTTCTCTGCTGACCTATTTAAAGGCGGTTCCCCTCTGCTACCACACTCCTTCCTTCATTGTGTTTATTACAGTGTATTACACTTTGTGCATTTCTCCTCTCCCCCTACTGGACCGTGAGCTCCATGAGGGCAGGGAAAATTTAAATTGGGCAAATACCTGCCGCAGGGCCTTTGCACATGTTGTTTCTCTTATCCTAGAAATTTGCATTGCTTTCAAATTCTTACTCAAACAGTCATTTCTCCATGGGGCCTCTTCTACCTGCTCCATCTAAGGTGGACCCACCGCCCCTTCCCAGCTCCCTTTTTCTCCATTCCTGGTTTTCTTTTTCCCTGCATCCATCACCTTCTAACATACTACATACTTTTCTTATGTACTAGTGTCTATTTCCCCCCATTAGAACCTGGGCCCCATGGGCAAAGATTTCTTTCAGTTGTTTTTTTTTTTTTTCTTCACAATGATCTCCCCAGAGTCCAGAAAAATGCCTGACACATAGTAGGTGCTCAACAATTGTGAATTTGAATGAATTAGTGACTGTTCTCGCCATGCTCAAATATCTTCCTTCTTCACTACAGGCAAGTTCTATGATCCCCAAACACCTGGGACAATGTCTGGTACACATTTGCTTGTCAATACACAGAGTTGTTGACTAAGTGAATGAATGAATGAATGAGTGAGTGAGTGAGTGAACAAGTGAATGAGTGAATGAATGAATGAATGAATGAGTGAATGAATGAATGGTGTGCCGGGCAGTGTGAAATGCTATCTGTCCCACTGAACCAGAGCTCCTTGAGGTCAGGGGTAGTCTCTGTCTTACTGGCTGCTGCATGCCCAGCCTTCCTACCATGGAGGGTTGCTAGGTCTCCAGTATAAATATCTGTCCCTAGTTGAGCTGTCACATCATCCCTTCAATCACACAAATGCCACTGTCGCCAAGCTGCAGGTGGAGACCCTGAGGTTCAGAGAGGAACTGCCCAGGCCCCCCGGACACGAGTGGATGGGTAGATGGCAGCCCCCTGCCGCCCCTTGCTCGGAAGCCCTACCTGGTGATGTAGATGTAGGCGCCTCCCAGCAGCAAGGAGATGATGAGCGCGGGGATGAAGATGGCCAGCGCCATACTCCCGCCTTCCAACGATGTCTCGGCTGCCGCTTCTGCTACTGAACACACAAGCCAGTGGGGCCCTCCTGCTGCATGCGCTCGGCCCACATGGCACCTGGCTCCCGGGGAGCGCCCACCCTCCAACCTGCACCCACCTAAGAACTGGCGTCACTGGGCCTTAGCCGCTGGGCAACCGTCCAAGGGGGAAAGAGGCGGAGACTAGGCAAGTGGGTGCTGGTTCTCTGCAACCGAGTCCAGACCGTCCGTGGGTCCCCGGGGTGGTCATGGGGGCAACCGAGAATTACACTCTTTTAACCCTGATCATACCATGCCCCCCCTTTTTTTTGGTGGAGGGTACAGTTGAAATCTGGTTAAAATCCCACTGAAGGGAAGACTTGGAGAAACCCCAGATGTGCTAACTGAGAAGGCGGATTCGCTTGACATCACAGGGAGTGGAGGGGAGGGAGCTGCTACACCCAGACTGGCAGGTCCCTCCCAGAGCTGCATGACCAACTGCTCCAGGAGAGGGTGCTGGGCAGCAGCGGCAGGTCTCAGTACTGCACCCCAGTGGTACCCCAATTGTAAAACCCAATATTGATTTTCGGAGGCCACGTCTGCACACTCTCTCGACCTCGCCTGGAGCCTCCTGCTACCTTCCAACGTTTGTGAAAATCCCAGGAACTATGACAGCCACCGTGGAGGCCGGGGGGTGTTCCCGGCATGGCTCGAGGGGACCCGCATCTCTTCAAGGCGCTCAGCCTCCAGGCCCCTTTGCCATGCCCCCTGGCCATGTCCAGCACAGCTCAGCTGCACGCCAACCCACCGTTCATTAACCGCCACTCCACGGAGCCTGCAAAAGCCGCCCTAACACCCTCGCTCGCTAAACGCAGGAGCACAAAGCGGACCGTGAGCACCAGAATCACTGAGACACCCCAAAACGCTGAGGTGTCCTCATTGCTCACCGGTTGGCAGAAGGCAGAAAAGGGACGGCCCGAGACACTGACACCGCGAAACGTCCTCTCCTGCCCCGGTGAAGTGACTAACGACATGCCCTTGTATTTGCACCCTGGCTCTGCCTGCCCAGATTAAATGTCATCTGTTCCTGGAACGGTGACTGATGCCACATCATGCTCACCGCCCCGGGTTCCGAGTGCACCCTTTACCACCAGAAAGTTAAATGGCTCTAAAAATAATAATTAAAGCTGCTGAATTGGTTGCAACTTAAAAAACCAAACCCAAACAATCGACTTTGTATTTTCTTAGCACCACAGCGTGGCCTTGGACCACGAGGGCAGCCTGCACAGGACGCAGTGTTTCATGTAGGAGGGGCTGGGGAGGCAAGGGGCACGAAACGGAAGCCAGAGCAAATCCTACATAGCTCTCAGCATCTGCAGCACATTCATAAATCGTACGAGGAAATTCCTAATAAAAGGAGAACAGAGAACAGAGGATACCAGGACAGGTATGTTGGGGAAGAGAAAGACCAAGGGAAAAACAGACCACAGAACATCCCCCGGAGCCTACGTTTCTCTCCCAAAGACAGGAGGATGCCCAGCGTAGCAGGTGAGACATCACTGGGTTTAATTTCAGATTAATTTCCCACGGACAAACAGTGCCGTGGGGTTGAGAAGTTTCACAATAGGGTGATGCCTTTGTCAGGCAGAGGGCGCTCAGATTTCCTTATCTCACGAGCGGAGCCGGCATCAAATCCCTTCTGGGTCATTTCTTTGCAATATCATTTATTTTGCAACTATCTGCAGCTGGGTGAAGGGAGATTTTTTATTTTTATTTTTTTGTGAGTACCTGGACTGGGAGAGTTTAGGACCTGCCCTTGTTTTTTGTTTTTGCTGTGGGCTTGATTTATTGGATTTTTTTCATTATGGAACTCACCTTCTAAAGCATGTTCAAAGCTGTCTTGATTAACTGGAAGAGAAATAGAGAGCCTTGGTCAATGTCAAGTGAATTCGTTGTGCATGTTACGAAGCCAAAATGAATGAGAGCAAAACATCATGCCACGCTTTACTGAAGCTCATGCTACGTTTCATTTTTCTTGGGCTACTCAATTTAGTGAAAATGCTGGATACTTTCCCCTCCCCGGTTCCTGAGAGGAGACAAGATAGGTATGAGAGAAACACGGACAACACTAGCCATAAGGAATAATTACTGAACACCCACCGAATGTCATGCCAAGAGCTTTATATATATTTGCTCACTTAACTCTCACAACAATCTCGTTAGGCAGATACTGTTATCATCCCCATTTCACAGATGGACCAACAGAGCATCAGAGAAGTGAAGGCACTTCTCTGACATCACACAGCTTCTGCGTGACAGAGGCAGGATTTCCACCCGGACGGCCTGACTTTCTCTGGCCTCGGCTCTTAACTACAGAGAGCCGGTCTTTCTGGTGTTTTCCTGTAGAACAAGGGCTGATGAATGGTGAGGGTCAAGAAGAAAGTCCCAAACCCCAAATCCCAACTCCAGCCAGAGGTGACACTGGTTTCCTGCTTTGAAACATATTTATGTGAACCTTTCTGACTCCACTTTTATTCCGTACTTATTTGACTAAGTTTTATATTCCCCGTAGAACTGTTTTCATTCGTTCACTGACACAGACGAGAACTCTCGGGGATTCCTTCATTTTCCGGCAAAACGTCTCCGGGAGTTGAAAATGAGGGGGGCTGGCATCTCCGAGCTTTGGCACCTAGGTCGTCATGGTAGCTGAGCACAGAAGTGTACCCATGTGGCGAGGTTCCGACGATGCCAAACCTCAGAGCGAGCGCTTAGACAAGAAGACTGCATTACAAGGGGGCGGAGCGAGGTCCCACCGATGGCCAAGCTACATTCATGTCCTACCTAATACCGAGACTCCCGGTTCGTGCCTTGGTCAAAGCAACGCTCTGATTTTCATCATTACAATGTGATGAAAACAAAACCAGTAAAAACAACAACAACAACAACAACAAAAAACACAACTAGTTAACTCACTAACTGCTGTTAACCTTAAAGTTCCTCCCAATCTCAAAGGAAGATATTTGACCTCAACCAAAAAAGCAGAGAGACTTGAACCTAAGAGGGCTTCACAGTCAGGGAGACAATGTCCATGGAAGCTGGGAGCAAAATGAGGCTCTGCAGGTACCACCCCTGGGCCTCTGGGACCCAGGTCCATGAAGGTTTAGATCCTATGCGACCACAGCAGGTATGTTAATACCTTTATAGACTTTTTTTTTTCCTTCATTGATTTTAGAGAGAGGAAGGGAAGGGAGAGAGAGAGAGAATCATCGAGGAGCGAGAACATCGATTGGCCGCCTCCTGCATGCCCCCCACTGGGGATCGGACCCACAACCTGGGCATGTGCCCTGACAGGGAATCGAACCAGCGACCTCTTGGTACATGGGTCGACGCTCAGCCACTGAGCCACCCCGGCCAGCCCAGGCATGTGTTTGAATTAAACCAAACTTAAATCAGTTTTACTATGAAATAATTTCCCAGACCACATGATACTAAAAAGCATTTGGGTTAGTTTCTGCTATATTTCTCAGCGTATCTAAGGGCTTCCTTTCTGTAAGCCTGTGACCCTCGGGAACCAAGTGGTGGTGAGACGGGGCGCAGGAGGCAGGAAACATTGAAGCCACGTTGTTGGAGCAGGAGTCAAAGCAGAATAGCTCTTGTTCACGATAAAAATCTAGGCTCAGAAGCGCTCTTTTGGTGAGTCAAAATAAAAATGCTAAGCAAGGAGAGGCATCGTGTCATCGTTTAATGGGCGGAATTTTTTTTTTTTCTTTCTCAGGGTGCAGAATATAATGTGGTCTCTTAGATTTACGGAAATGCAGTAGCTCAGCGTTTCGGCAGATTCAGAACCTCTGCACGCCGTCTCCGGTCCCTGCTGTCTCAGGTCCCTGCCGTCTCCGGTCCCTGCCGTCTCCGGTCCCTGCCCTCTCCGGTCCCTGCCGTCTCCGGTCCCTGCCGTCTCCGGTCCCTCGGTCCCTGTGCTGCACGGAGGGTTCTTTACCTTTACAAACAGGCAGGGGCCCGTTCCAGTGGGAGGGCTGTCCCAGGATGCATCGAATGGTCACTTCGCCCATGAGCTCGAAGCCCTCGTAGCACATGAAGGTGAGGGACTCTCCTGGCAGGTAGAGTCGCTTGTATAGGATTTGGTACCCGTTTTCTGGTAACCCCGGGTTGTCACATGCCAGGGACTCTTCCGCTGAAATGCAAGTCAGAAGGAGCTCTGATGAGATGATGCAAATCTTTGGGGATCCCTACTCAGAGCTGGTGTGACCCGGCTTCGGCCCGTCTCTGCACACTCTCCCTCTCCACCCCCACCTCACGTGACGCTGTTCCTCGTTCCTCAGCTCATCTTTCTCTCCCTCCTCTGCCATGGGTGACATGCGAGCATGGTAGGACTCACGGGGCTGTGGAATACGGGTTAAAATCTTGGTTCTGCTCCTTCCTAGTGAGCCGTGTGACCTCCAGCAAAGGGCCACGGGTGCCCTGAGCCTCAGCTTCCCCATCAGTAAAATGGAAATAATAATAGTGCCTATCTCATAGGGACTTGGAAGAGTAAGTAAGATAATGGTGTAAAATGCTCTTGGCATGTCCCAGATGCTCAATAAATGATGGATGGTGGTGTTAAATTAGGCAATAGTCCCTCTGCTTCTCACCTTATACCTTACCTGCCCACCCAGGCTGGATCAGTCTTGTCTCTCAATACTCAGTCCTCATTTCTCCACCTCCAGGAAGCCTTCCCTGGTGCCCCATACCCCTAATTCAGTCACTAGCCCTTCTGGTTCTTCCTCCACCCCAGCACTGCATACACTGTATTGTATTTAATCATTTAATGTCAGTTCCCCTCCCTGGAAATGGGCCCATTAAGGCTTGCTTAAAGCTCAGGACCTGGTATACATAGGAGCACCATAAATAACCTCTGTGGGCAAAATATTGACTTCTCTGAACCTCAGTTTCCTCATCTGTAAAATGGGCTCTGTCACAGGGCTGTTAGGAGAATTAAATGAGCCCATGTGTGTGAGGCTGCGTATTTGTACGGCCTTTACAGTTTCTGTCAGCTTTTCATAGCAGGTGTACTATTGTCTACTTAATACTTCTTTTTTTTTTTTTTTTTAAAGTTCACGTTTCTTCTTCTTCTTTTTTTTTTTTTATCCTCACTCGAGGACATTTTTCCATTTTTTGTACAGATAGAGTGGGAGGGAGAGAGAGAAACATCGACGTGAAGGGACACATCGAGTGGCTGCCACCCGCACGACCAACCAGGGCCGGGGACAAACTGCAACCGAAGTAGGTGCCCTTAGCGGAAACCAAACCCGGGTCTCTCCGGACCGCAGGCCGACGCTCTAACCGCTGAGCCAAACTGGCCAGGGCTACTTAGTACTTCTTATGTCTACTGATTTGCATTTCCATGGAAATAGTGCTATATGATTTAGCCTCACCCTACGTAATATTTCTATAATCACAGATTTCAAATATCAGTTTCCATCTTCTTAACAAAACGAAACACCAACAAGTTAGTCTGGGCACGGTCTCAAGCCACGCCGGCGCCACCAGTGGTGTATATAACACTCCTTGGGAGATGCGGCCCAGGGCACTGCACTTGATAGTTTATGGACCCCCGAGTCCAGCAGACATGCTCCGCCCCTCTGTGCCAGGGACAGGTGTAGAGTGGTGAGCTGGACAAGCATGGTTCCTATTTGCCCAGAACTCCGACGGGAGGGAAGTGAGGCTTGTCAGGTGACTGCAACCCAGTGCAGTCAGGGCTCTGAGGGGGTAGCACAGAGGACCATCCTCACCTGACGGTCACGGGTGGGAAGGTGAGGGAAGGTTTCCAGAGGAAACCTGGAAAGCGGTGCCCTGCTGGGAGAGAGTGAGGACCCCGGCTGGGGGTGGGAGATGGGAGGTGGGATGAGATACGGGTCTGATTCCCTGCTGCTTCCCTCCCTCCTGGGCAGAGGGGAAGTAAAGGATCCTTAAGGCAAATGTGTGCATCACCTGCAATGTAGCATAGTGGCCAGCAGGTGGCAATGGTAACTCAGAAGAATTTCCCCACAACCTTCCCTGAATTTCCTTTCATAAATCAACAGATTAGTGAGTACCACAAACATTTATTGAGCAACTTTTATGTGCCAGGCACTGATCTTGGCCTTGGACATCCGATGATGAACAAGATAGACACGGCCCCTGCCTTCATGTAACCTAACAGGAGTGTGTTCCACAAACACTTTCTAGATGCCCACCCCGTGCCAGGGACGGTCCTGGCCCTGGGGAGCTAGAAAATGGCAGAGGATGCTGCCAGCAGTTTAGGAAGATGGGGGGGGGGGGCGTCCTCACCTGTTCTCACCTGGCTGCACTACACCCCCCTAGATTATTCAGTGCCCCATCTCCACCGCGCAGGCACTTTGAGGTCGTTTTGGAAGCTCCCCAGCTGATTCTAAAGTTCAGCCAGAGCTTTAGGGCTTGAAGGGTTTAGGGCTCAGAACCACAAAATACGAGTCATTTCATTAATTTCCCAAAGAGTCAAACAGTCATTTTGTACCAGATGATTTGCATCTATTATTTCCAGTCCTCGCCCGATCCTTACAGGCAGTAACAGTAATGACCAGAATAGCCAATGCTGACTGAGAGCATCCTATTTGTCAGTAACTATCTGGAGTTCTATATCTAGGAACTCACCTACTTATCATAACACCCCCAAGGCCCAGCTATTATTATCGCCGTCCCCGTTTGTAGCTGAGCAAATAAACCACATAACTGCTGGGTACCCTTAAGTTGGTTCGTGGGAGAGAGAGGATTCAAAGCCAGGCGGCCCAGATCCACGGATAATCAGTACACCACACAGCCATTTTACAGATGAGAAAACTGAGGCTCAGGGGCCAAGGCACTTGCGAAAAGTCCCCCAAGAGGAAGTGGCTGAACTATGGTTCGAGTCCAGGATTCTCTCTCAAGTTAGTTGATTCCGTTTCGAGCCAACCATCAGTAAAAGTCTGAGAAGAATTCCGTGTGGAATTCTTCCCTGGCAGAAACCAGCGTTCTTTGAAGTGGTTGTATTTACCTTCAGCTCCCAGAAGATGGCAGGAGAGGGACGTGCACAGTGACTTGAATGTGAAACCGGAGGCAGGAATCTTGCTGTGCGACCTTGGGCGAATCACTTCACGTATCTAGACTACATTTCTCCTGCCTGTTAAGTCAATGGTCTAGACCGAGACCCCGTCCTTAGCTGAGACGGAGCTGAGCAATGACATTCATACTCTGAGGACGTACCCACACTTTGAAATACAATCATCTAAGGTAGTTTTTATCACCCTAGATGCTATTGACATCGTGGGCCGGGCAGTTCTTTGTGGTGGGGGCTGTCCTGGGCCTTGTAGGATGTTGAGCAGCATCCCTGACCCCCACCTGCTAGTTGCCTGTGGCACCTCTTGCCCACTCTTGTGGCAACCAAAAATGTCTCTAGAAATTGCCATTGGCCAATGTCTCCTGGGGAGTAAAATCACCCCTGGCCGAGAAACACTGGCCTAAGGTTTAAATAGGTCTGGTTGCAATCCGTGTGACCCCGTCCTGTTCTCTCCCAGGAATTCAAGAGTGTTAGACTGATGGGTAGGTAGACATGATCACTAACCTCCCCTCATTTCTATTTCTTCCATTCTTCCCCCTCTCTTTAACTGTAGGAGAAAATGTAAATTTTTGGAGTACATTTGAGCAAAATGCTCAAAATCAGGTTCACTAGTTATTTTTTAAAATTGATTTTAGAGAGAGAGAGGAAGGGGAAGGGGGGGAGAGAAAGGGAGAGAGAGAGAGAGAGAATGATTGATTTATTGTTCCACATATCTGTGTATTCATTGGTTGCTTTTCATATGTGCCCTCACTGGGAATCAAACCTGCGATCTTGGCATATTGGGATGATGCTCTAACCAGCTGAGCAACCCAGCCAGAGCGTGTTAGGTAGTTATTGCTACAACTGGTTTGTAATATACCCCAGGGAGCAGCAGCAGCAGCAGCAGCAGCAGCAGCAGCAGAACATTGAAACTGAGTGGTAATTAGCAAACAGTGTTGACTGAGCACTCCTTATATGCCAGACACATTGTCAGGGGCTTTTATATAGATGGTTGGCATGATGATTTCCTTAGCCTTTTTGATGAGGACACCCTCTCAGCGAAGTCACACAGCTGGCAGGTGGCAGAGCTAGATGCAAACCCGGACGTGCGGGAGCTCGAATCCTGCGCCTTTCGTGACTGCTGTGAGGAGCCCTGCCTGGCTCAGATCCCCGGAGCTGTCACGGAGTCCTGACTATTGCTTTCTCAGAGACAGGAATCTAAATGGAGATGGACACCCAGCTAGAGCCCGGCGTGCTGGCGGGGTGAGGACGCTGGGGACAGCTCGTCCATGGGAGCTTTTGCTAAGGTCAGCGTCAGGCCCCGTGAGCTCTGCCGGGGCCTCCTGGGGAATCCCCAAGTGCTTCCCCAGAGAGCCACCCAGAAACCCTCACTGAATCCTCATTACTCTTGGTAGCGTGGTTTATGTCTTCTGGATGGGAGCCTGAGGAGCCATTGACCACGCCGCCATCAAAGAAGGGAAGCCGCAAGGTGTAATAGAGGCCATATTAGTATCACTAACAATAACAGTGACAGTAATAGTACCACATCCCATTGAGTCTGCTGGGCCCGAGAGATAGGAGAATTAATTGGATACAATCTTAGCAAGTGAGTTGTGTGTGTGCTTCTCTGAACATGTAAACCAATCATTTCAATAAGCTACAGCAAGTGCTATGAAAACTGTAACTGTAGGTGTCGTGGGAACTCTGAGGAGAGAAACATGACCTAGCCTAGGCAGTCAGGGAGGCCTTCCTGGAGGAGGTGATATTTATCCATTGTTCTTTTCTTCTTACATTTCTTTTTCTTCCCCTCATCTCCAGTAGACCCCCAGGCTCCATGAGACCATGGATTGTGTCTGTTTACACATCGCTGTATTTGCAGGGCTGACCACCACGGTTCCCAAACTGTGCACCAAGGTGTCCTGGGGTGCCACCATGAACTCACAGCAGTGTTGTGAGATTTTGTAAAAATTTGAGGAGAGCGCCCTGGCCAGTTTGGCTCAGCGGTTAGAGTGTCGGCCTGCGGTCCAGAGAGACCTGGGTTCGGTTCCCGCTAAAGGCATGTACCTTGGTTGCAGTTTGTCCGCGGCCCTGGTTGGGTTGTGCGGGTGGCAGCCACTCGATGTGTCCCTTTCACGTCGATGTTTCTCTCTCTCTTTCTCCCTCCCACTCTATCTGAACAAAAAATGGAAAAATGTCCTCGGATGAGGATAAAAATTTGAGGAGACACAGTGATGTCTCTCAGACCCATGGGAACTACCAGCTCCAGGAAGGTCCCTGTTTCAACAGGAGGTAGAGCTACATTCCCCATGGGTGCCCGTCTTTGCGAAGCTGGGTGTTCCGTGGCTGCTGTGCCGGAGGGCAGGGACTGTGACACATCAACATGGGACAGGAAGAGTTCAGCCCGGTGCTGAGGTCTGAGAAGTCCGGTGGAGCCCCCCGGCACACGCATCCCTGCAGCGGCAACTGCAGTTATTTAAGATTGAAATGAAAATGTGATCTTCTCTTTCAGCTCATGTGTATTACGCTCCCAAACAGCTATGAAGTGATCTGGATATAGCTACTCATTAAGGTGTTTGGACCAAACTACGTAATAAATAGAATTATTAGGTATTTTGGCCTACAAAATTGATGAAAAAAATTCCTGAGACCAAGGGTATCTGGAGTTGAGCAAGTTTGGGAACTTCTTGCTAGCATAAGTCTGCTTAGAGGAGGCGCTTAGAAATGGCCAAATGAATTGATTCCAACGACCCTGCCGGAGTATTATTTCCTTTTCAGCCCTCGGATGAGAGCTCCGTGGCCCAGAGAGGGCAAGCTACATGCCCAGGTCACCCAGCAGGGCTGGCGGGGTGTCTGACTGAATCCCAGACTCTCTCCCCCGTTGATGCCTGACTGTTCTTGAAGTGGCTTGGGTGACGGGCTGGGCACGAAAGGACGTGGCTCTGGGTCCCAGGGACCCTGAACAGAAGCTGTGGAGGAGCGGCGCTTGCCCCGTGCTCTGTCTGTGTCGACAGTAAAGCATCAGAGCTTCCCCCAGAAGCTGGGACTGCAGTCATGAGGGCGGATGCTAATGCTTTTGGGGTTCGTCAGGCTCGAATGAGAACCCTAGGATTTCCCTTCCCTACTGTGTGACCCCAGGAAAGCTGCTCACCCTCTCTGGGCCGCCTTTGCCGGCTGTTAATTGGACACGCATACCATCCGTGCAGCTTTGAGGGGTTTCAACGTGTTTGTGTTGGAAAGGGCACAGCCCAGCGAAGGTGCCCGTCAGACCGGGGCTGTGCCTTTGATCAGGAGAGGAAACACTGTGGAGCTGCTTAAAAGTACCCCCGGAACCCCGCCTGTAACCTCCCTCTCCCTGCGGCACCTCGCCCAAGGAGGTGACCACCCTCGCCTCGCAGGGCATCTCCGCCAGCCTCGCCTGTCTGCAACCGCAACGTGGCGGGAACCACGACGGATCCTTTCTCCGGCTCCTGGAGGGTCGCGAGTCTCCTGACACCTACTTGGCTCGCGAGCTCCCTCGCAGGGGTGTCGTGGAAGTGGATTTCCCGAGCCCTGTAGCTCCAGCCCTGAGGTTTCAGGGAAAGGCGCCCCGACACGAGGGAGGCAGGCTTCTCGGGAACCCAGCAGCTGCCGCAGCCCGGGGGCCCTGGAGGCTGTGCCTCAGGGAAGTGCCTGTTCTGTCCCTTTAAAATATCTCCACCTTCCAGTGTTTTACAAGGAGCTTTTCACGGCTGGGCCTCTGCAGCTGAGACGCTACACAAGTCAGCAGGGGGAAAAGGAACCTGAATTTGCCTCCCAGGCTGCCACATGGAGGGCTGAGGACTGTCGCTGTGGAGGCCAGAGTCGGAGGCCAAGGCAGCCGGGCCAGGATCCCCTGAAACCGGTGGGGGAGCGCCCCTCCGCGCCCCTCCCCTGCCGTGGCAGCAGGCAGCCCCTGACCTGCGGGGGTGACCCTCCGATCTCTGCCCCTGTCCTCACGTGGCGTCTCCATGTGTCCGAACTGCCCTCTTCTTATAAGGACACCAGTCACTGGATTGGCACCCACCCTCGCCCCGTGTGACCTCAGCGTAACGTGATGACATCTACAAACACTCTCTTTTCAACACAGGTCACGGGGACAGGTACTGGGGGTCAGGGCTTCAACATCCATTTTTGGAAAACACAATCCAACCCATGACAGGAGCCACCCAGGGTGAACTTGGCCCAGAGGTCTGGGCGGCAGAGGGGCCGAGGCTGTGGGCCCGGGGCAGGGCGGCAGGCTACACCACGTGGGCGTCCCGCCCCCACCGTGACATAATGGTGGTGGCACGGCGGGCGGAATGGGCACTGAGCGTGCTGACGGGGTCCCAGATGGGCTCCTACCTCTGCCCACGAAGAGGTGTTATGGCCTTGAGCATATATACCTGCCTTCGAGTTGTAATTTCCTTTACACACACACACCCCTATACATATATATGTAATATGTGTGACACATACACATGCTCACAAATATTCATATGTAATCCATTTAGCAGTGTGTTTTACACATTCAGTGAATGATCCCTGTTGTTATCTGTTTCCTCCCCGAGCTTCAGTTTCTCTAATATATATGCACACCCATGCATATACACACATATATACATACTACACACATGTTCACAAATACGTGCAGTGTGTTTAGCAAAATGTCCTGCCCGGTCGATGGATAACAACCACTGCTATATCTGAGGAGGGGTAGCCGTGTCTCCAGGGGACCCCGCCGTTGTATTCATCTCCCAGGCTCTTCAGCCCCGAAAGCCTGGACCTCAGACCGAGGGCGTGTGGTCTAAGGTTCCTAGTTACGTGTGAAGGAAGAGCAGTAAAGTGCCCCTTTCTGTGCAGAAGCCTTACATGTTGACGGAGTCCTACCGGCAGCCTCTGGTGCTCGAGCCGCCTGTACCTTTGAGGACGCGGTTGATGACACACTGATGTACAACAGGAGTGCTGCCGACAGCTCGGAAACTCCAGACACGTGTGTGGCTCAGCTCCTTCCCTGCGGCCCTGCTGCCCTTAAGCAACGATCCGGGTCCCCGCTGCGCATCGAATCCCTGGGCAGCTTTCAAAAGCCTCACGGCTCAGGGACACTCAGACCGCTGGCGGCAGAATCTCCAGCCGGTTTTAAAACTTCCCAGGTGATTCCCAGGTGCAGTCGAGGCTGAGACCCCGGACCATGGCTCTCCACCTCTCCTGCCTCGTAAGAATAGGAACCCCTCCATTTTACAGGGTGACCATGGAAGCCTTTTTTTGGGTTTTTATGGTTAAGAAATGCAAAAGAGTTTGGATTTTTTTTTTTTAAACCAAACATTTGTTTCGGTGGCTCCATATAGACAAGGCCAAAGGGAGTTTAAATCCACCCTGCTTAGTGCCCGGGGACTGTCTGGGTCTGCCTCTGGCCTCCGCTCTTAACTAGCTGTGTGACCTGGGGCAATGAGTTCACCTCTCTGAACCTTCTGAAAATGGAGCCAGTAATGCGGTGCTCACAAGGCTACCGGGGGAAAGCGAGGGACATTCTGTAAAGGACAGCGCAGAGCCTGGCACATTTACCGTAAATAATGCCGTATCCCTGTTTTCAATGCATGTTAGCAACCGTCCTGTGATTGCAAAAATACAAAGCGCTCCCCAAGGGTGGAATGCCTCCCCCGTTCCCGCCCAGCAGCCAGCAGGACTCACAGACACAGCGGGGCAGGCGGGACGTCCAGATGGGTGTGCCGGTCTCGCGGCTGTAGCAGGTCAGAAGCGAGCTCCCTTCCAGCACGAAGCCGGGGTCGCAGCTGTACTGGATGGTGGTGCCCACCAGCAGCACCGGGTCCGAGATCAGGCGGGTCGAGTGGTCCACCTCCCCGGGGTCGGTGCAGTACATAACTACCGAGATGAAATCCGACCAAAGCGCGTTAGGGCTCTTGATGGCCACAGGTTTCCCAAGAACTACAGAACACCCTAGAAAGGTTCCTAACTCAGCTCTTTTCCTGTTTGGGAGAAAATGCATCTCGGGCTCCTCAAAGGGGACTGGAGAACAGGCCAGGACGGAAGAGATTCGGATGTCGTGCCAGTTCAGGAACTGGCTGAAGAGATGTTTGTTTCGCATCAGGGCCCAAAGACCTGGGCACAAGGCTGCACATCACACCTTTACTTTAAGAGCAAAACAAACAAGCAAACAAAACAAAACAGCAATGCAAATCCTTCCACAGGAGAAGAGCGAAGTGTGGAACAGCCATTCATAAAACCCTGAGCAGTCACCACGGAGAACAAAGCGAAGGAGCTGTGGTTTCCTTTGAGGGCTTGAATATAGTAAAACAAGCATCCATTTCTTTTTAATAAAAACATCAATATAAGCCCTGGCCAGTGTGGCTCAGTTGGTTGAGCTGCCATTCCGTGCACTGTTTGATTCCAGGTCAGGGCACATGCCCAGGTTGTGGGCTCTGTCCCCAGGAGGGGGCATGCAGGAGGCAGCTGATCGATGTTTCTCTCTCTCACTGATGTTTCTAACTCTCTCTCCCTCTCTCTCTCTATAAGTCAATAAAAACATATTAAAAATTATAAAAACCAATATAGAAAAAGAAAAACAATAAACCAATAAAAAAAGAATAAAGTAGACAACATGTGCGAGATGAAAAGATATCCGTATTTCTGAATTGCAGTTTTGAGAAATTTTGTACAAATTGATCCTTGGTAAGGTTCAATATCTACATTTGTAGCTATTTCTATGTGAATATCAATATATAACCATACAGAATACATTCACACATGCAAATATATGTATATGTGAAGCACACACAGACATACATATGCAATTGGAACCATTTAGAATGTACTTTAAAAAAAATATATATAGTTTTTCTTTATTGATTTTAGAGAGAAAGGAAGGGAGAGGGAGAGAGAGATAGAAACATCGATGAGAGAGAACATCAATTGGCTGCCTCCTGCATGCCACCCTCTGGGAATCAGGCCCACAACCTGGGCATGTGCACTGACTGGGAATTGAACTGGCAACCCCTTGGTGCATGGGTCGATGCTTAACCAGTGAGCCACACCAGCTGGGCTAGAATGCACTTTTAAGAGTGGCATCATTTTAAGAGAGTAAGATTGTTTATTTATTTATTTTTTTGTTACAGATATTTTACCTTTTTACCCCATTGGCACCCCTCACCCCACCCCCCCTCCACCCTGTCCCCGGCTTAGTTGTCCATGTCCATTGGTCATGCATACATGCATATAAGTTCTGTGGTTTATCTCTTCCCACCCCCCCCGCCCCCCATCCCCTCTTCTGAGGGATGTCAGTCTGTGCCCTACTTCCATGTGTCTGGGTCTACTGTATTCCTCAGACTGTTATGTTCATTATATTCCGTATATAAGTGAGATCATGTGGTATTTGTCTTTTTCTGCTTGGCTTAAGAGAGTAAGATTGTAAGGGATTTTTACTTTCTACTTCATAATGTTACTACAGTTTGAGTACAATAAGCATTTGTTACTTGAGTAATTTAAAGTTAGTATTACTTCTTTTTTTTATCCTCACCTGAGGACATTTAAAAAATATATGTATCTTCAGATAGAGCGGGAGGTAGCGAGGGAGGGAGGGAGAGAAACATCGATGTGAGAGAGACACATTGAGTGGTTGCCACCCACATGACCCCAACCAGGGCCGGGGACAAACTACAACAGAGGTACGTGCCCTTAGTGGGAACTGAACCCGGGTCTCTCTGGTCCGAGGGCTGACGCTCTAACCGCTGAGCCAAACTGGCCAGGGCAAGAGTATTTATTATTTAAAACATTAAAATCATTATTTATAACATTAAAAAATTATTATTATGTAATATTATATACTCTACACATTATTATGTATATAATATATGTAATCATAATATAATGTTGATCATGTGATGATGTTAATGAGATCGTGATGGGTCCCTTATATCACCACTGATGGAGTTTCTCAGTCCCCATTTTTAATTTTCTATCATGACACACACACAACATATACTGTCGCAGAACTAATAGATTTGTTTATGTCGTTGATTTTGTGGATTTTTAACAAATTTCCTCATGTTTCCCACAAGGATAATTAACTTCCTTTGATGTCAGAATATTTATGGCAGGAACAGTAGGTGAGCCCACACTCCTTCCCCACCACCGTCTTTCCCTGGTCACACTTAAAACGGTCGACCCTCCGTGTCTGCGGGTTTTGAATTTGCAGATTCAACCAGCTGCGAATTGAAAACAGTATTTTCTAACGCTATGCGTGGTTCTACGCCATTCTGTAGAAGGGACCTGAGCGTCTGAGGATTTTTGTATCCACGGGAGATTCTAGCACCAATCCCCACGGATACCAAGGGACGACTGGATTTCTCATTGTGCAACAGGAGATTCGAGTGATGGTGACCAGGTTACCGGGGTGCCACCGAGGAGTCCCGGCTAGAGGGTTGCAGACAGCTTTCTGTAGGAGGGGGGATACAAGCGGCTGGAGGGAGGCACCTCCGAATTCAGCTCCTCCCCTTGCAACCAGAAGCACTTCCTTTTCCTACCCCTTTTCAAGACATTGGACTCAGCCGTCACCAGAGCTTCCTGGCCCGCACTCCTGGGGGAGCAGGCAGAAAGAACCGGAGACCGGGGTGGGGGGTGTTGTCTGGATGAAGTTGGCCACCTACCACATGGGTTTCCAACTGGGACTCCAGGGCCCAGCTTCCTTTGTTTTGCTTGGCTACCAAAGGGACTTTAAAGACGTGAATTTGAATGATGTTTTTACACAGCTACATACTTTCCCCTTCACCACAGTCTATACCACTCCCTACTGTCTGACGAGTCTATTTCACTCATTAACGTTACCTGCCAGGCTTCTGAAGCCACCTGAGTCTGAGATCCCTGTCCGAGGGCTACACAATGACATTTGGGAGCAACATCGGTGAGCTGGTGGAGTAGAAGGGAGGCCAGATTCTACATCACATAATCCCACTGCACCCACGAAACAAAAGAACACCCAAGGGAGGGACTCCCCACCCACTGCCTTACACAAGAGAACAGGACGAGGCTTACTTTTCTCGCAAAACGGGGGGTCACTGCTCCAGCTGAGGTCCCACTGGCAGGTGAGGGTGTCGCTCCCCACAATGTCGTAGCCGGGGTCACACTGGTAGGTGATCCTGGCCCCCCTCACGAGCTCCGTGTGCGAAGTGGTTTTCCAGCCGTTCTGGATCTCAGGCAAGTCCGAGCAGGAGTCGTTCCTCGACACCTCTTTAAAACAAAGACATCATCCCCAGATGGGGAGGGGCCTTTCTGCTTGCCACATGTCAGAGGGGAACGCACTCCCCAGCTCCCTGGGAACAGTGAGAACTCTGCTACCCTGAGACGTCGCTGTGACCCCTTCCCGAGGGTCACTGAACTCGCCAAGCATTCTCCCGGTTTGATGAAGTTACTTCAGGACGTAGAGCCGGGCAGAAGCCCAGCTCTGCTACTTACCAGCAGTGTGACCAGCACCATCTCTTCTCTCTGTGTCCCCTGCCGACACCTGGCAGCGACTTGCCAGCCACAGCAGAGTGAGCCGCTGTGGGAGGGGAGCCGCCAGCCACGGTCGAGTCTTCAGATGACGGCAGCCCTGGCTGACATCTCGACTACAACCTCACGGCAGACCCTGAGCCAGGCCAGCCAACATTAACTCCTGACTTCCTGACCCACAGAAACTGTGGCATAATAAATGTGTATTGCTAATTCTGTGTGTGTGTGTGTGTGTGGCAGGGAGGGGATTTGTTACACAGCAATGGGTAGCCAATCCACTCAGACTCATCCTAAGAAGGTCAGTAAATCCATGGGTTTGATGGATTAGTGATAGACATGAATATCTTTTTTATCCTCACCTGAGGATATTTTTTTGCATTTGTCTTCAGGTAGAGCGGGAGGGAGAGAGGGAGAAAAAGAGAGAGAGAAACATCGATGTGAAAGGGACACATCGATTGGTTGCCACCCTCACAACCCCAACCGGAGCCGGGGACAAACTGCAACCGAGGTCTGTGCCCTTAGCGGGAACTGAACCCGGGTCTCTCTGGTCCACGGGCCGACGCTCTAACCACTGAGACCAACCGGCCAGGGCAGTGATACATATTTTTATAACGCAGATGAAGATCAATACATAACTGTTAAAATAAAAATAATGATGGGTGCCTCCTTCAGATCACATTGCATACCCCGGGTGAACATTAACCTCACTCCAGAAAACGCTACATGAAGCTTATTATCACAGAGACTTCCTCTGGAATAATTCCGTTTTTCTTCAGCAAACTCTCATTACTAAAGTAGTCATCCAAAGCCCATTATTACTCTTCTTGCCTCCAAGTGCCCACTGCACAGATTTGGAGAAAGAGCTAATTATACCGTGTAATTAATTTGCAGTTCTTATGTGCCTTCTGGGGAAGGCATAGTGCTTGCATTGTCTGCAGGAGTCACTTGGAGAAACAAGCAATGGCTTTGCCTGGGATTTCATCATGGTTTTATTTGGGGAATGGAGCGCTCATGGCTGTCCGCAAGCGGGGGGAGGGAGACGGTCCCTGGACTGCTTGGTGGAGAACAGGAGCCTCTAATTATAGGTCTTTGGAGAATCAGCCAGGCGCTGGGTTTAGGGCCCAGCTGCAAATGCTCAAATTATGGCTGCGAGGGAAGGAACGGGGGCAAATACTGGATGTGGGGTTCGCCTTGTGCCAGGTGCTTTGCTGGAAAAGGTTTGCTCGTCTGACTTTTCAATGGCAGCCAACGTGGCTACACATCCCTGTGGGACCCCCGTCTCCTCGGTGGCGCTCACCACGTTGGTGATCCCTGAGTGTGGCCACCACGTAGCAGAGACTTGACTTCAATCTTGGCCCCACAGTTACCTCATTCACTTGGCCTTCTTGATCTTCAGTTCCTAGACTCCTCTCCCAGGAATCTGCATATCCATCCAACACCCTAGGTGGAGGTTCTAGAATTCTCTGTCCCTATGAGCCCTTCACCTTGCTCAGGATGAGAAAACTGGTCCAGAAGTTGGAGGGCTTCCCTTCCAGTCCCCTTTATTTATTTGAGGAGCTGTGTGACTCCAGTTATGTCAGTAAACGTCTCTGAGCTTCACTGTCCTCAGTCATAGAGGGGAGATAAAAATCACGACCCTGTCTGTCCCTAAGGGCAGTGTGAATGCTGGCTCATGGCAGGGTATGGCAGAAGCACCCAGATGATTGTACGGAGTCACTGGTTTGTTTGACTAAGAGTCTGTGAGCCCCACCGTATGCCAGGCTCTCGGAAAACAGGGATATGAAATCATGGTTTTAGTTTTTACGGTCCAAGTCAGCACCATGGTCTAACTTTCGGGCAAAAGAAATACCCAACTGCACCGAAAACATGCCACCATTGACCAGTCTTATGCTCATGGCAGACATCACTAATCGATCACAGCAATCTCTTTCCCTGAATCAAGCTGAAACCCTCCAGTCCTCAACACAGCACTCCAGGGAGCCACTGTCATTTGGTTGGAGTTGACCTACAATATAGAGCTTATTTACGATCCCAGGATTAAAGGAATAAATACACAAGGGACTGATATCTCTTTGAAAAAACGCTGCTTATTCATCTCTGTTTTTCTGTTCCTTTCCCACCCATGCACTTGGCCAAAGACACTAGCCAAGAAGTACCAGAAGCTTCTGTGTGTGCAAAGGAGAATTATGGGAGATCAGAACCATGTAAGCCCAGAGTGTTCCTGGGTAAGCCCTGACCGACGTCCAGAGCTGGGCTTCAGGCCTCGAGATCAGTCTAGGAGCGTCAGCATTCTCCAGATGACCACAGAAACCCCTGACCCTCCATCTGCTTCCTCTGCTGAATGAGAATTGCCCCTGTGTCTGGTTACATCTGGACCTAGGATAGCAAACACCTCTCCCACACCATGGCAGACATCACTCATCAGCCTTGCCCTTCCTCCCCACTGACGTCAGCCGTCACCTCCTCCGAATTCTTCTCAACGTGGTGTTCACCATCGGTGGTCACAAGCAATTGGCACTGACATGAAATAGAGGCTCCCTTGCCTTCTCCGTAAGATTAACTGTGCGTTTCTTCAACACAAATACGAACAGTGGGAACTGTTCTCTCTTTCGTGTGGTACCCGCGCGAGCCAGGCTGTGACCCCTGGGAAGAGGACTCTGAAACAGCATGAGCACGTGACCGGACACTGCCTGGTAACAGGCTCCCTCTCGCATCCGTAGCCAGCTGCAGGGCAGGGAGAGCGTCCTGTTCGTTCCCAGCTCCTGGGGCCTAGGCTGGGTCTGGCACGTACGGTGCCAAGAGATGTCTGGGAGCCATGCTGTCTGGAAAATGAGTATAAAGCATTTGAAGATGAAATAAAAGAGTATATAGAAGAGTCTCGCCAACTGCAAATCGTCACACAAATCTAAGTTGCAGCTTCGGTTATGAAGAGCACTTCCCCTCCAGGATACCGCCAGACGAGCGCGGGCCAGGCGTTCTGGCTAACCTTGGGCAGCCTTGCACAGAGTCAGGTTTCTGCTGTCAAGCCGAATGCAGTTTTGGAAGACTGACTCAGGCACCAGAGGAGACTGAAGAGCAAAACTATGACCTCATCTTCTGGCAGGGAAAGGGGAAATGTCTAAGGAGAGAATGAAGCCAAGTCGCCAGAAACTCTCCCCGAGAGGCAGAAGACGGGAGGGCACCTCGCCTTATGCCCGGGGCACTGCCCAGTAAAGACTGGGAAATGCAAGCAAAGTAGCAGCAATAGCACGTGACGTCTTTAGTAGCACACTCCAGGGTACAAAGGCCCCGGAGTAACATATGAAAGAAGATCAGCACTTGCATTTGTCTCTCTGACAGTTGCCAACAGAACAGGGAGGGATGAGAAATGGCCACCAGCTGGAAATAAAAAAGGGACTCACTGCCTTGGCCATGTGGCTCAGTTGGTCGAGTGTTGTCCCGTGGACTGAGAGGTCACTGGTTCAATTCCCAGTCAGGGCACATGCCTGGATTTCGGGCTCCATCCCCAGTAGGGGGCGTGCCAGAGGCAGCTGATGGATGTTTCACTCTCTCATTGATGCTTCTCTCTCTCCCTCTCCTTTCCTCTCTCTCTAAAATCAATAAAAACATATTTTTTAAAAAAGGGACTTAATTTCCCATGCATGAGGCTCTTGACAGAGCCAAGGTCAGGGAAGCGGCTTGTATTTTAGAGGCAGGAGGTGGCACAGAGCACACTTTATATTACATTGAGATGAGCAAATCTTCACACCAAGGGGGCAAAGAACCAAAGATTTGGAATCTTGCTCTAGCCAGAGTGTGTTTGGTGCTGAGGGTAGAATTGGGAGGCTGAGCAGGATGAATCCTGTTCCACCTTGGAAATCAAGATGTCAACCTTGTCCCTGGGAGGGGCCAGCAGGTCCCCTAACTGCTAGCTGAATCTTGTCCATCGAAATTCTCAAAACGCACCACCCACCATTCCGGAAGCTAAAAGGAGTTAGCCTTCATCCTCTCGTGGATCCCAGGTTCTCTGCCATCATCACGGATACTGGTGGCGGAGAAACCCTAAGAGCTGGGAGCCTGGCTGTGATCCTCAAGTCAGGTGAGCAAGTCCCTTATCCTCGGTGGCCCAGGGCTGCTTCTGCTGTGACAGGGATGCACCAGACACTGTCAGCTCAGGTCCCTTCCAGGGCCGGGTCAGTGGGACCTCCTGTTTTGTCAGCCCCCTAATGCCGAGGATGATGGCAGCTTGGACTCGAGTGTGGCCATGGAAAGACAGAGAGGAGCCCTTGAATCGGAGACGTGATGTGGGAGCAGAGTTGAAGGGTGGGTGAGATGTGGGCGAGGGAAGAGGAAGTAGCCTGAGAAACCAGGAGAGGCGAGCTTCCTTCTCCGGGGTGGGGCAGGTAGAGAACAACCAGCTCTGTTGCCCATGTGAAGTCTGAGGTGCCAATTAGATATACCAGAGGATACGTACTAGGGAATTAGACAAATCTGGAGTCCATGGGAGAGTTCAAGGTTGGAGGCACACACCAGGGGTCAGTGAAGTAAAGACGGGTATTGTGTAGAAACCTGAGGCCAGGTCAGAGCACATCGGGAGGCTGGGTCAGGACGGAACCTGGAACTCAGTGTCCATAGGCTGAGCGGAAGGAGGTGGAGCCAGTGATGAATAAGGGGGCCTTATAGGGTGGGGCAGACAAAACAATAAGAGGGTATTGGATGGTCATGTGTGAACCTAGCTTGAACTTAGCAGGGTTTTTTGGTTTGTTTTTTTTGTTTTGTTTTGTTTTTAAGATGGGGGGAGATAAATGGTTTGGAAGCCATACTGGAGATCAAGAAAGACATCAACTGCATCTGTGGGTCCTGAAATGTGGAGGGGGAGAGAGTGGTCTCCGTCGCATGGGCTGCCGGGGACCAAGAGTCCTTGGGGAGAGCTGAGCTTCAGTTCGGGCAAGATGGTGACGGTGTTGACGAAACAAAGTCCCCGCTGACAACAAATGAAACGTGATGAACCCTCCCATTACGAGGCTTTATCTACTAAGTCCGACATCAGCCTTGTGAAGGAGGTATCGCTATTCCCATTTTACAGACAACAGAAAGGAGGCTAGGAGAGGTCAAGTGATGTGCTCAAGGTCACAAAGCCACTGATAACAGTACGACTCAATCCCTGACCCTTCTGACTACGGTCTTAAAGACTACATATATTTACTGTGGCAATATTAAAAGACCCATGTGGCAAAACATCCCCCCCCAAAAAGATAGAGGTACAGGAAATCATCTTAACCTGCATCTAAATGCAAATAAAAAAATTAACCAGATGAGACACCTACCTATGTAGTTCATGATAAAGCCCTGGCCCTTCCCAAAGATGAGGCCGGCAGGGTCCGAGTGGAACTGGATCGTCAGGTCTGGCGTGGACGAGTACAGCTTCTGGGGGCCGCTGCTTCCAAGGTACTGCCCCAAGATGTGGGGCATGACCTCATCACCGTCATAGATGGTAAGGATGTCGCTGTTGCTCAGGTTCAGGCTTAGGGGCAGAGAGAAAGGGCATTACGAAGCAAAGTGAGGGGGGTTCAACAAGCTTTTGATTTATTTTTTTGGCAATGCACATTCCTTGGAGACATACTAGGTGTCAGGTCCCAGGCACTGGGATTGAGGTGGGCATGGACTCCAAATACGACCAGGACATGCTGATCCTTCCTATAAGCCTGGCACACGCACTGGCCGGTGCGTGGGGCTTTGGAAGGCTCATTCATGAAATGGTCTTCCCCCCATGGGACTCCCTGCAGAGCCAAATGCTGCATCGGAAGAAGACTTGCCCTCAATACCCCCATCATCCACAACCTCTGCACTGGGCTGCCTGCCGGAGGAGCGGCCTGGGTCTCCCATTCGTCTCTGATGCAGAACAAGCTGACTGCTTGCTCATTATCACTTGCCTTTGCCTGTAAGGTGAAATGATGCTTCCATTTATCATGTGCACAGTTCCTCAAAATCAACCAGGTTATCTATGGTGTTAGAGGGTGGGGCCGAGGATGGGATGCTCACGCCGGCCACGGCTCACTATACATAGCATTCAAGGACGACACATTTTCAAAGACTTGAACTCAAGAAAGCACCTTGACGAAGGTATCTGGACTGCAACGGACAGACAATAGTCCAGGAAGCAGTTCAGTGTGCCACAGAAATGCGTGCCACGTTAGGCGCCCTGGATGAAATGCATCTCTTGCATCAACCATGGACAGATATAAATCATGCCTCTTTCCTTCCTTTCTCCTTATTCCCCTCCCTCTCTCTCCCCTTTCGCTCCTATGTCTTTCTCCTATTCTGGTTGTCCCTCTCCCTAATATTTTTGAGCACCTACAATGTGCCAGGCTTTGTGCTGTGCTCAGAAGGCACAAGGAGTCACGAGCAGTGGTGCATTTAGACTAGTAAGCCAGAGGTTGGGGTAGGAGTCATGATCAAGGTGAGTGCAGTGGAGGGCTTGAACTCCGGTTGGGAGCATCACGGAGGCCTCCCTGGAGGAGGTAATGCTTGCTTCTGATCTTTCAGAAAGAGTAGGGGACTGTGAGGCAGATAAGCAGAGACTGGGGAGAAAGCAAAGTCCCAGGAAGAAGGCAGAAGGGAGAGAGATCATGGCTCCTGAAGGGAAGCCTGGTGGTCAGCATGTGTGGGTATAGTCCTGGGACCCTGGACGGATCTGCAGGAGTCAGACAGTGAGGGGCTTGGAGAGCCCAAGTTTAGGCGTTAGGATGTCATCGTGTTAGGAATGGGAGACAGTGGAGGGTTTTTGTTAGGGGTCCCCTGACTGAGCAAGCCACTGCCAGAGGGGAGAGACAGTCCAGGAGATGGCCCCGAGTGACGTTTCTGGAACTCACGCAGGGGGACAATAGCCCTCCCCTGCTGACTGCTTCCTCCAGCGAGCGTGGTGATTGCCACACGTCTGGGAGTGGGAGAAGGGGTGGAAAGCACCCATGACGGTGCCTCAATGAGTAAGAACAAAACAGAAACAAGGTACTCAGCTGAAGATTTGCTTCCAGAGGGCGGGGATGCATTTTATTCACCACCACATCTTCCACAGCGCCTCCCACAGTTCCTCAGTGACGCGTCCCAAGGGGTGGCTTAGGGGGGCTCATGGCTCCTGTAATCTCCATCGGCTTCCCCTGCACCACCTGAAAAACCCTCTCCAAGAAAAGCTGTCTGCTCGCTCTGCACACATGGCTTGGAGACCAAGCGCCTAGACTGCTCCAACCCCTGCCAGTGTCTGTCTAGCAGCCTCTAAACCCCAATTGTATTGGAATCTGGGGAGTCTAGCACACAATAGGTGTCCCATGAATGCTACAGTATGAAAGGACCTGCAGGGAGTCTATCTGACTGCAGACAGAGTGGGGTTGATGTCAACTCTCGACCTGTGGTAAGGAAGAGCCTCTTAGTTTTAAGTACCGTGAAATATCAATCGCTCATGAAAGTGCTGGGGTTGGGCTAGAGTGAAACATGGCAGATGACAGGTATTTGTTCCTTAAGCTGGCTTCACAGCCGATCCGCTGGTGACACAGTGGGTTCCAGGCAGTGCCCAGCTGGGCTTTATTCTAGATCATTCATTTCAATGATCTCAATGCAGCAGAAGTATGTAGTAAGTAGTCAGTTAGACAGACATGAGCAGAGCAGGAACAATAGGCCAGGTACAGAAGGTCACCCAGGGCCATCATCACTACCATTGCCACCACCATTATCATCATCATCATCATCACCATCATCACCACCACCATAACCATCATCATCATCATCACTATTAATCACCCACCATCAACACCATTATCATCAGCATCATCACTATTAATCACCATCACCATCACCACCACCATCACTACCACCACCACCATCACCATCACTATTATCACCATCACCACCACCACCACCACCATTACCATCATCATCACCACCACCACCATCATCACCACCCCCACCACCACCACCATCTTCTTCTCTTTGGATTGCTGCTTATGCCAAATGACACCAGATGACTTATGTCAATAGTTCTCAACTAGGGGTGGTTTTCCCAGGAGACATTTGCAATGACTAGAGACATGGTTGTCCCAACAGGTGAGTCAGATACTGTTAAACTTCCCACAATGCACAACAAAGAATGATCTGGGCCAACATGCCAATAGTTCTAAGGTTGAGAAACCCTGACTCTGGGAATGCATTTTGTGACCAGGGTACAACAGATTACTGAATGCAACTTCTGTTGTCCGGGGCTTCAGCAGAGGTCCCTAAGCTAGGAACAACCAATAGGTACTGCGCGTTCCTACTTTTCAAAGGGATGTACAGGACTGTTGATTGAGATGGGGTCCTCCAGAACAGAGCCCGAGCAGGGATGTGACCGTTCCATGGAGTCTGGTAATCTGGGAGGCCACCCCAGGCAGCACTGGTGGGGAAGGGACACAGGAGGAAGGGAAGGAGTCATTTCCTGGGGCATCGGTGGGTGAGTTCCACTGTGGGCACTGGGCTCAGTCCTGCAGGGACTGAGAGAGGGGGGGGCAAGCAGAGCGTACCTTGGGGGAGAGGGAGACGCAGCGTTCATCCTCCACCCCCAGCCCTCATTGGCTGGGTGCTTCTCTGAGGGGTGTTGGATCTCCAGCACGTCTGGCCTGCCCACATGGCATCAGAGAAAGCAAAGCCTTTAGGTGGAGAGATGTTCAGTAGGAAGTCATCATGGCTACAGAGTGGCAAGGACCACAGGGCGCAGACAGGGCTCCAGTGGTCCATACTAGCACCATCCCGGCAGCTCTTCTACCCCGAGCCCGATCCCCACCTCTAGCTGAGGGAAGGCAGAACAATTCACTGGGCCACCCAAGAGTGCCCCTGTGGGAGGGGGCCCGGGGGAGGGGCGAAGGTGTGTTACCCTCACCTTCAGCCTGGTGAAGAGGCTGCAAGGAAACCCTTAATGGTTTGGCAGGTATCTTCAGGGCTTTGGCAAATAGTGTCTGTTTTTGACACTGGCCGAGCAACGAATAATGATGAAAATCAGCCTGGCGCTGCCTGCCTGGGGCAGAGCAAAGAGAGGATAGAAGGCGTCGGGAGTGAGCTGTCCATCATTGATGAGAGGGGGAAGGATTCCTGTTGTCTGGGTCTTAGATGTGAGCCCGGAGGAAGGCAGCCGAAGGGTGAGGGGAAGGTCAAGAGCAGCAGGGCTTGGCAGGCTGTGCCCACATCAAGTACCCTTAAGACAGAAAGAAAAATCTGCATGCTGTGTCTTCCAAAACATCACAGTGCTGACAAGTGGGCTTTCCCGCGAGAAGGAGCAGCCCGTCCTCACGACAGAACCCCCAGCCCGAGGGGCCCTGCCGAGGGAGAGGGTTTAGATCTACAGGGTTATTAGACTGAACGGCACCTGTTATGACCAGAAGATCTATGGAAGCGAAGTTTTCACCCAGAGTAGAAGAAGAAATGGAGAAGGTCCATAAGGGGCGGCAGGAGAAAGAATAAATTCATCATATATTTTTGGATCACCTTTGGATAGACTGGTTCTAATGATACACTCGAAGGCTGGTCATTTACACCCCGCCCCAATCTAAAGACAAACTTGCATTTCCACGCGCTCATCCAACTGTGTTTGACGCATCGAGGGCATCCAGCCGAGATGAAAACGCGGAGACTTAAAATACAGAGACATTGGCCGCAGGGCAGAACGTCGCTTTCCGCGGAGGACAGAAGTGGCGTGGAGGAGGCACCGAGACGTCAGAATGGCAGTTTGACTTCAGAACAGAGGGGTGATGAAGAGGAGCCGCAGGCAGGTGGGTTTGATCTGGGAGAATTCTGCAGGAAAACACAGCTCTCCAAGGCCAGCCTCTGCCTGCTCCAACCCCTCTTAGCTGCCAGAGGGGAAGGCTTCCTGTGCACACGGGGTCTTGAGCTCCTGCCAGCAGGCCTCAGCTTCTGTGTTTCCGTCAACCCGGCTGTCCACCCCCTTCCCCCAGTCACTGCCAACAGCTTTTCTCCATCATTTTCCAGCTGGACTGTGGGACAGCCTTGCTCACTGACTGCATCCTCGCCTGAGCCAAATCCCTCTCCCATCAGCAGCCAGATGACTTCATTTGAAGCACAAATCTGGCCCCTTCACTCCGCAAATGAATGGATAAGCCACATGTGGTCTACCCACACAACGGAAGATTATCAAGCCATGAAAAAGGATGAAGTACTGATGCATGTTGCAACACGGATGAACCTAAAACGCTTTATGCTAAGGGAAGAAAGCGAGTCATAAAAGGCCGCATGTTATATGATTCCATTTATAAGAAATATCCAGAAAAGGTAAGTCCATGGAGACAGAAAGCAACCCGGTGGTTGCCAGAAGCTGGGGAGCAGTGTGGAAAGAAATGGAGAGAGCCTGATAAATAGATATGGGGTTAGTTTGAGGGATGATGAAAATGTTTTGGAGCTAGATAGAGGTGTTGATTGTACAACATTGTGAATGTACTCAATATCACTGATTTGCATATATTAAATGATTAATGTTATGTCGTGTGA